AAAACGACGACAGCTGTGGTTAAACGCGATAAAACGAGCAGACTGGACAGAAACAATCGTCAAAAATGCTCGCGTTTGCAGCGCACTTCTTATCAGAAAAGGTTAAATAAAATACTGTCTTTTGTTATGGGCGCGTCTACAGATTTCTTGCCATATGTCAGGCACAGCACTCATTTTAGCATGTGTTCGTGTTTGTGTGTGCTGTCTGCGTCACTCATAGCACGTGCCTATATCTTGCACTATATCGAACATTTTTTATATCGTTATCGAAGAAGGTGTACCGTCGATAAATATCGATACCATTTTATCGCCCAGGCCTACGTTCTTGTATATTGTCTTTTGTATTGTATATGCATGCGTTATGATAGTCGACATAACCTCACCTATACCATGTTTGGTATCTGCGAATTTGTATTTTGAAGATCTAAATGATAGGGTATATTATAGGTTGATGCCTATGCAACATATTAGTATTACAAGCATCTTTAATCGTTTTTGCATCAACAACCAATCCAGTTACATATGCAAAACACCATGCTAGAAGACAAAGAGTCATAAACTTTCCCTCCGAAAATTTGTTACCATTGGCTCACTGACCCCCTGGAGGTGTGACCTCCACAGAAGTTAAAAGGCCTCACATCCGTGACCCGGACTCTCTTCTTCGGCACTCTTACCTCCTTGCCTCTCGGACATCCAGTCCAATCGCGACCTGCAAGGAATCCCCAACGCTGGCAGAACACCAAAGTTGCAGCAAGCCATTTTGCAACTTTTCACCCTGGAGAGAACTCTCCCAATCACTACCGAGTCAGAGTAACATCTTTGGAGTTTGTCACTCTTCAAACCTGGAAGAACGCGATTGCAATTCCAACACCATCGAATTTTCGAACCATCAAGACTTTTGCCCGAGACAGCATCCGGACGCTCGTTCAACGGCCAAGACAATGCAAGCATCGTACATTTAACTAAACGAAACAGAGGTTTAGGATAAGCTGTAGACCCCGTTGTCAAACAGCGCTGATGGTTTCACTCAGGTGGTTAACTGCCTCATTTTCATAGCTTCATTCCCTGTTTCTCTAACAGTTTCATTCAGTCTCATTTGCCCTTCCCTCATATATGTGTGATTGTATGTTTGTTTGTTTTGACTAGTTATGTGTTAGATTAGTTAAAACTTTTTTGTGCACAAATTACTTGAGTTTCTGATTCTGTCACTGCTTGTGGATAATGTCCCTTTAACGATCCGATCTTGTCACATGCTCTAATGCTTCTGTGGTCACGAAAATATCATTTCTTAGATTTGATATGAAGTTACACTGAATGTTCGATGGACAAACAGATTAGTTGATGGTAAAATTAATTCTGCATTAGTTACTACTGGCAACTGATATAAATAATTGTAATTGTAATTAATTGTAATTATTTATATACATTTCTCTTTTGAGCTAATTTGCTACAGAAATGATCATCTTTATACTACAAAATCTTTATACTACAACAATTCAAACAGGTGTCAAAACAAAGTAATGTATTTTCTTTTGAGTGAATTTTATTAAAGAAGATGGGGAACATATTCGGGTCATATTTTACCATGAAATCAAAAAGAAAAAGATTTGAAATTAAATTAAAATTTGAATTAAGAAAAAAGGGCTACTTTGGGATTTTAAAGATGTTTTAAATTATGTTTTTTTTATTTAAATATATTTTGTCATTTGGGGTCAGTAAGATTTTTGTAATGTTTTTGAAAGTGTCTTATGCTCATCAAAGCTGCATTTATTTGATCTGAAATGCTGTAAAAACAGAAATATTATGTAGTATTATCACAATTTAAAATAACACTTTTCTGTTTTGCTATATTTTAAATGGTAATTTATTCCTAAGCATCATTACTCCAGTCTTCAGTGTCACATGATCCTTCAGAAATCATTCTAATATGCTGATTTGCTGCTCAAGAAACATTTCTGATTATTATCTTTGATGAATAGAAAGAACAGCAAAAGAACAGCATTTATTTGAAACAGACATCTTCTGTAACATTATAAATGTCTTTACTGTCACTTTTGATCAATTGAATGCATCCTTGTTGAATAAAAGTAGTAATTTCTTACAAAAAAAGTTACTGACCCCAAACTTTTGAATGGTACTACTACTGTATGTAGCGGTTAATTGTATTTTTCTCTGTCCTGCATTAGTGCTGAGTGTGCTGCTGTGGCCGCTGGTGGTTTACCATGAGCTGATCCAGAAAATGTACACCGGACTGGAGCCCATACTGATGAAACTCGACTACAGCATGAAAGGAGACACACAGCACCGCAAATACGACAAGAGAAGTGAGAGCGTTGCCTTTATTTAGTGTCCTAGATTACTTACTTGTTTTTTTGTTTTTTTCAAAGCCCAAAATAAACACAATATTCTTTAAACTATATTATGTACAGTTGAATGTTCGGTTAGGAAATAAGTTTTACATAGTGGTGAAAATAATCCTATATGTGACCCTGGACCACAAAACCAGTCATAAGGGTCAATTTTTCGAAATTGAGATTTATACATCATCTGAAAGCTGAATAAATAATATTTCCATTGATGTATGGTTTGTTAGGATAGGACAATATTTGGCCGAGATACAGCTATTTGAAAATCTGGAATCTGAGGGTGCAAAAAAATCAAAATACTGAGAAAATCACCTTTAAAGTTGTCCAAATGAAGTTCTTAGCAATGCTTATTACTAATCAAAAATTAAGTTTTTATATATTTACAGTAGGAAATTTACAAAATATCTTCATGGAACATGATCTTTACTTAATATCCTAATGATTTTTGGCATAAAAGAAAAATCAATAATTTTGACCCATACAATGTATTTTTGGCTATTGCTACAAATATACCCCAGCGACTTAAGACTGGTTTTGTAGTCCAGGGCCACATATATCCTTTCCTTTAAGCTGTACCAATACATAGATTTTATACTAATAATTTTTAAATTTATAGACAATTATATAATGGCTGGTATTTTTCGCCTGTTCATGCTTAAAAGTAAAATCAGGCATTAAGACATTTTAAATACAGTAAATTATGTTACAGAAACCTGGCATGAGTTTATAGCTTGAACTTAAATAAATAATCCCTAATATTATCTGAATCCTATATTGGACTGATAACAACAATAAAAACTGTTCAATATTGGTGCCAATATATTGTGAGCTCTTGCTGCTGATATCACAGTTGTAGACTCAGTTGTCACTTCCTGTTAGATTGTGCTCAGGAGACGTGTGTGTTTGTGCAGAGCTGAAGAAGGAGCAGGAAGAGGGTGATGAACCGAGGGCAGAGACGGAGAGCGAGAGCGAGGAGGAGCTGTCATGTTTCGCCCCTACTGTGAGTGTCCTGATACAGGATGCTTAGTTTCATGTTTGATGATAAGGGGACTCACTATATCCCACCTTAAAGGGGCCATATTCTATATGTAAACTTCTAGAACTTGTAAATTTTTCAGCATCATTACTACAGGCTTCAGTGTCACATGATCCTTCAGAAATCATTCTAATATGCTGATTTGCTGCTCAAGAAACATTATCACTGTCGAAAACAGTTGTGCTAATGTTTTTGTGATACTTTTTTTTTTTTCAGGATTTTTTGGTGAATAGAATGTTCGCTTCAATAAACTCCTAATTTACTAATAAACAGCCAATATGCTAGTAATATGCATGCTAATAAGCAACTAGCTAATTGTGAGAATTGTGAAGCCCTAAACTAAAGTGTTATCGAAAGTTCAAAAGAACAGCATTTATTTGAAATGGAAAACTTTTGTAACATTATAAATCTCTTTACTGACACTTTTGATCAATTTAATGCATCCTTGTTGAATAAAAGTATTAATTTATTTCCAAAAAAAACACAGTAGTGTAATTCTGGTCACTGATTGGTTCTTTCTTCGAGCAGGTGGATGTGAAGACTACGGCTCTGGCGATGGCCATCACAGACTCTGAGCTGTCCGATGAGGAGGCGTCCATACTGGAGAGTGGAGGATTCTCTGTATCCAGAGCCACCACACCACAGCTCACAGACGTCTCTGAAGGTACTCAACGCTTTTTCATGTGCATGAAGAATTTAGTCCGACTGATTAAAATAAATGGGTCAGTACCACAGACGACAAACATTTAACAGACGTTATTTACTGCATACACTACCAAATGTTTTCAAATGTTTGGGGTCTATATATTTTTCTTTTTAATGTTTTTGACTCTCTTATGCTCACCAAGGCTGCATTTATTTGATCAGAAATACAGTTTAAAGCATGTCAACATATTCCGTTACACCAAATACACAAAATAATGATCTTTAAAAAAGCATCATATGACCCCTTTAAAGTAACCGTTTTCTATTTGGATATATTTTCAAATGTGATTTATTGCTGTGATGCAAAGCTGAATTTTCAGCAGCCATTACTCCAGTCTTCAGATTTGCTGCTTAAGAATAATTTCTTCTTATTATCAATGTTGAAAACTATTGTGCTGCTTAATGTTTGTAGAAAGCATAATACTTTTTTTTTCAGGATTCTTTGATGAATAGAAAGTTCAAAAGAACAGCCTTTATTTGAAATAGAAATAATTTGTAACATTATAAATGTATTTACCGTCACCTTTGATTAATTTAATGTATTAATTTCTTTGAAAAACAAAAAAAATCTTACTGAGCCCAAATTTTTGAATGGTAGTCTATAATAACATAATGTAAAATAACATATTTTAAAAATATTTTCTTTAACTGTCGAATTGTACCTAAAAAGTGGTAAGAATTTTAAATGAAAAATAAAAATGCCGATATATATTAGAAACATTAAAGTCAACATGAAATCAAAATGTACACTATTTACTTTGTTAGCGTACATTGCTAGTCTTAATGATTAATCCATGCAAGTTAATCCACTGAAAAAAAAATTTGTCCTGGTAATATTTATCAAAATCTGATTATTTGCTTCCCCAGTCTGGAATGGCATTCCTTCTCTGATGACGTCAGTTTGATGGCTTGGGCAGAACATCCTTAACCTCTCCCATATCAACCGTTAGTTTGCTATGAGCGAGAGATGGAGATGAGGAACACTAAAATTACCCCCCCCCCCTATTCAATATTCCGTTTCAGTTGGAAATACGTCATAATACTGAAGTCGGCAGCTACTTCCAGTTCACACGGACTTTAAATGCTATGTTGCGAAAAAGTTTTGGGGTCTAAAAAAAAAAGTTTTTTTTTGCGAAAAAGTTCTGAGCTAGTCCAGACTGTATGCTAATAATAAAAGCCTCTTTTATGAAACACAGGCAACAAATATTTGTGTAATAATTAGGGCTGTCGTGATAACTGCAATATCGCAATATTGCTATTGACAAGCAAACCGCAGAGGAATGCAAGAACTGAAGCAACCGCGATTTTAGCGCGTTTTCTTTTTTCATAGGGTTATGCCCTTCTCGTTTTACACTTAGTGCATGTGTAATGAATATTAAATAAGTTAGTAATGATAACATAATGTCTACCATTCTGATTTGTACAGAAGCTCCGTAGATTTGCACTTAACCAGCCTAAACAGACAGCGAATGAGAGAGAGATCAACTGAGCATGTGCGATTGCTTAGCATCGCAGTCTTAGCATCGATGCATTGCTGGTCAGCTGAGCCTTCTAACGTGGCGCGCAAAGTTAAAATGATTTCAACAGCGTGTTTCATTACGTCTCTCTTTGAATGAATCAGTGTTTTTGAACGTGTAGTTGAATGAATGGTTTAAAGACTGACTGACAGCCTGTCTAGAACGCGCAGGTGGAAATATCAATAGAAAGTCTCTTGTCCAGTCAGATTCGAGGATCAGAACGAACTGTTATACATATAGGCTAACAATAGCCTAATGATCTTATTGTCAGGTTTATGTTCTGTTATGTGGATCGTTATTTTGTCATTCTCTTCTGTTTGCTTCACTTCCTGTTTCAACCCTATTTGGTTTCGGTTTCATTGGTTTCTGAATATGACCTCGTTATATCGTAACACACACACAC